ATCCAGAAAAGATGGGAAAATATGGAGAGTGTTTTTATTTGTGTGTATTTATTTGTGTGTCCTGGGGCCCCTTCAACTGTGCGGGCCGAATTTCCGTACAATGGCCGAAAGTTCGTCCAAACGGCGCTCTCGCCTCGACGCGGGCAGCACACCGCCAGCGTCACCTGCACGTCGTGGCCAGTGCAACAGCGAATCGAGCGGATGACTCAGCAGAAACTGGCGTTTTTGGTTCAGGTGGGGGGTTGGACGACGTGGACGAATCAAACGCACGTTTGACGAAAGTCAAAATCGAAGCGATGTGCCAGCAGATTGGGCCAGCTTGATTGCCGCCAGTTTCCGTCGAACACGTGCGGAGCAACAACGGTCATAATGGATCATTGTTCGGGTAGTTGCACGTCTCGTGGAGGATGTTGCGGAGCTGATTCCCATCTTCTACGTCGTGAACTCTTGTTATCCGTGTCGCGCTTCCGTCTACTCACTCCCTCCTCCTCCCTCCTTTTCCATTTCACGATCCGAATCATCGCGATGCGATAGGCACAGCACTTGGGCAACGCAAGGGGGTGCTGCCAGGGGATGGGTCACTTACCGGTTTGTGCCCAGATTGTGGGGATGTCTCCAGCGGTTCGCTTGTTTTACGGATGTAGGCGCGTCCTGTTTAGGGCCGCGAAGTGTTCGCGATGTCGCAATCATAGTTCTTGGGCGCCACAAGGGGGACCGACCACGGGGTAGGACACTTGCCCGTTGGCGCCCAGCATTCGGGGATATCTCACGCGAGACGCTGTCTTTTTGAGTTGGGTTTTCTTTTTCAGGGCCGCCACGAAGAAAGCGAATACTTAGGTACCCCAGAGAAGGAGGGAGGGCGCGAGAGGGTCGAACATTTTCCCGTTGGCGCCCAGCTTGTGGGGACGCCCCCTGCGAACAGGTGGCTTTCGGAAGTTGGCCATGTGTTTTCAGGCCGTGATAATCGCGGTGTAGGAGTCATCACTTTTGGGCGCCACAGGGGGGATGCGCCAGGGGGTACATCACCGGCGCGTTCGCGCCCAGATTGTGGGGGTATGTCAATCGAACCGCTTGTTTTGGAAATGTCGACGCGTCTCTTTTTGGGGCCGCGCAGGCGCCGCGACGACGTAGTAGACATGCGACGTGGGCTCTACAAGGGTTTGCCGCCAGGGGGCAGGACACATGCGCGTCAGTGCCCAGATTGTGGGGATATCTCACGCGAAGGAGAGAAAGACGTGTCTCGTTTCAAGGCTGTGTGGTAACTGCTATGTAATAGCGGGTAGGGCACTTACCCATTGGCGCCCAGTTTGTGGGGATGCCTCAAGGGGAACTCTGGCTTTTCTGGCTCGATTGTGTTTCTTATTGTTCAGGGTTGCGTGTTCGTCGTGATGGAGCAGGCGTTGAACATGGGGAGCGCAGGGGGGGCCGCTAGAGGCTACATCACAGGCGCGGTCGCGTTCATATTGCGAGGATGTCTCGGCTCACCGAATTTCTCTTACATACCCGCTCACTTTCCGACGTTCGTAGACAGGAATCGGAGAGACATTTACGCGTTACCTGGCCAATGACAAACAGCGTGGTTAAGGAGGAGAAAGAGGAGGAGGCGGACGAGGAGGAGGAGGAGCAGGAGGAGGAGGATCTGACCGATGCATACACCGGGATTCCCCGTAACTAAGCATTTGTCTTTTTGCCGTCGCATGTGCAGCATTTCGTTCTTGAGAGGCTCTACCTCCGCGTACATGTGGCCTGTGCAGTCCATGCCCGTCTGAGTATCTTCCTCCCCCCTCTCTCCGTCGCTCTCCCGCTCGTTGTTCGAGGCCTCCATTTCCCGTTTGGTTCTCTTTCTGTTTGGTTCCTCCGCCTTGGTGATGCCGCGCGGATTTGGCTGGCCACTTGGGCTTCGGGGCGCGCTGCGGTTAGCAACGTTTCGTCCGTCTGGCCTCGTTGGCGGCGGGTTGATTTCTGCTGCGTTCCAGGCACATTTGTCGCTGCTCCAACTCTCACTGTGCTGCAGCCGCGCTGTGGTGCATTGCAGCGCGTTCCTTCCCTCTCCCTCCTCGCGCCCTTGCTTAATGCCCCGTCCCCCCCTCGCTTTTTGTCGGCGGATGGGCGCGTCCCCGGTTTGGCGGTGTCCGAACCAGGCTTCGGCAGCCGACGGGGGCGGGAGGCCTGACACCGCACCCCTGCCTGGTCGTTTTGCTGCCCCTCCTCTTCCTGATTCGTCCGTTCCTTGTCTTCCCTCCTCACCAACCCTGCCTTGCCATTCAACATTGCTGGATACACGCGTTGCCCCTGCGTTGGCGCCCAGGTTGCGAGGAACTCGCAAGCGACAGCGCTGGGACTTTTGGCTGTGTGGTTGTTGGATTGGTTGGTCGCCTTGGTCTCTGCCCCCGTCGTTGTCGAGCAACGAAGTAAAACTGCAGGGTGCGCGCCCTCTCCTTCAAACTTCGCTTCCGCATTGTGAAGACGTCTCAAGTGATGCTGTCGTGCGTTGGTGGTTGGGTGCTTGGTTGGTTTGGTCGGCGCGGCTCTCGCCCGAATGCTCGGCAGCGTGGGCCGGTTTCCCGAGTGGGCGCACGACGCGGTGTCCACTGGGCCTAAGTGTTTACCAGTCCTGCCGTGCTCGCGCAGGGTCTGGCTGGCGACGCGCAAGATCAACTACCACGCGGACCGCGCACTTCTGGCAGCCTGAACAGCACAAGCGGCCGCGCGGTTCATATATCGCCCGCGGCCCGTGTGTTTCACGCTGCACGTGCGTCTCCCTCAGCCCTTTGCAGGCGGCGCCCGCGCGCTTCGCGCGGCCGATGCGGCCTCGCTGGTCCGACGCGGCTCCCCGCCCCCCCATCCCATGCGGATCGCACGGCCCATGTGGACTATGCGGTCCTTGCGTTTCGCGCAGCACCGGCGGTCCATCTGGCGCAAACAGCTCCCGCGCCCCACGCGCGCCGCAGTCCACCCGCAGGCGTCGCCCCCGTCACCGTGCCCCGAGCTCTTGCGACAAGGGCGTCGCCTGCACGCGGGCTAGAGCATGACTTGTGCAGTCTGTCCCGTTTCAGGCTATGTTTCTCCTTTTCTTCTTTGGCGTTTCTCAATTCGTTGCATGGGTTCTCTTTTTCCCCGTGCGTTCTCTGTTGCTTCTCCGCCTCCCCGTTGCCGCGCAGAGTTGGCTAGTCGCTTGCGGTGGTCGGGGCGCGCTGCAGTTAGCGGTTCGTCCGCCAGGCCTCGCTCGCGGCGGGTTGGTCTGCGCTGCGCTCCGGCTGCAGCGCGGGCCGCGCGGTGGTGCGTTGCAGCGCGTTCCTTCCCTCTCTTTCCACTTCCTCCACTGGCATCGCTCGGACGTGTGCATTTCTTTTGGCGAGAACCATCGAGGAGCATCCTTGATCATTTGGCGAAAAAATCACGCACGAAACCGAAAAAAACACAGGGAATGGACGTCCGAGCGATGGCGAGTTCCTGCGAGCCATTATTTCTTGCCCCGCTCCCCCGCCACGCTGTGCTTGCTGTTTGCGCACGGGCGTTGGACGGCGTTCCGCCTTTCCCTCCCCGCCCCCTTCGATCCAGGCTCCGGCGGCCGGAGGGGGCGGGGAGGCCTTGAATAGCGCCCGTGCCTCGCGGGGGGGACATTGTCAATTGTTCCTCATTTTCCGGATTCGTCCCGTCCCCGCCGTCCCTTTCATCAGCCCCGCCACTATGTGCGCCCCCACTCTGTCATGGCGCCCGCGATGCGAGGCAGTCTCAAGCGGCAGTGCCGTGACGTTTGGCTGTTTGGTTTGGTGTGTTGTTTGGGTGTTCGGCTGCATGGCGGGTTCGTTGGTTGATCGGGTTTCGCTCGTCCTATTAGTTTGTTCCCCGCACCGCGTCCTTCAGCCCCAGCCGCTGCCGTTGTAATCGCGTCCGGGTGTTAGACGGCACTCCGTCTTTCCCTCCCAGCCCCTTCGATCCAGGCCCCGGCGGCCGACGGGGGCGGGGAGGCCTGACATAGCACCCCTGCCTTGCGAGGGGGACATTTTCAGTTGTTCCTCATTTTCCGGATTCTTCTCGTCCCCGCCGTCCTTTTCATCAGTTCCGCCATTATGGACGCCCTCCTTCCGTCATGGCGCCTGCGATGCGAGGGAGTCTCAAGCGGCAGTGTCATGACGTCTGACTGTTTGGTTGGGTTTGTTGTTTGGGTGTTTGGCTGCGTGGCGGGTTTGTTGGTTGATCGGTTTTCGCTCGTCCTCCTAGTTTGTTCCACGCGCCGCCCTCTTCAGCCCCAGCCGCTGCCGTTGTAATCGCGCCCCCTCCGCTCGGCGTAGTTTTTACAGCATTGCGGGATGTACGCCTGTTTACACATCCGCATCTGACAGATCCGCATCTCGCCTTCCCGCCCCCTCGACCCCCGACGTCCTCACGCACATGTCATACGCACGACAGGTCCACTGACACCCTGACACATTCGCAAGCAAACCCGCTGACATTCAGACCCACTCACACCCGACGTAGACTCACTCACATCATTCTCGCACGTAGTCGAGTCATTCAGATCCACTCGCCCCCACAGTAAGCCAGATTTAGACAAATCGTACCTTGATGCGCTCATGCGCGGCAGTAGGCTCACCGAGATATAGCATACGTAACAGTACGGTACCCCAAGGAGGTGCCGCCTGGGAATGGTCGTTTGGTTGAACACCCTTATGTTTTGACAGACGCGCGAATGCGTGGCACTTGGGCGCCCGGAGGAACAACCGCCAGGGGGTCGGACACGCGTCCGTTCGCGGTGTCATTGTAAGGATGTTTCAGGCTGTAGGCCGCCAAGGTGGGCCGACGAGGTACGGTAAGTAAAACAGCAATCTAGGTTTGATTGCCTGAGGTCCAGGGCGAATGAGGCTGAACACGCCCATTCCACAAACGTATACATACGCATATATACTCCTTGTTGTACCACGCGTGACCACGCCAATGTTCATTTAGCTCAGCTTCCCCGCCAAGCGCCGATGGAGAGCCCAGCACTGTCCGAGGCTCTACCCAGACCAAGGATCCACCCCGGACCGAAGCTCCACCCCCGGACCCTGCAGCTGCGCCTCGCCGAAAACTCCTCTCGGGCCCGTTTTGCGGGCCCTGGCCGGGGAAGCACGGAGGCGCAGAGCACCGATCAACCGTGCACGCAGGGCGGGGGCGCCTCTCGCGGGGACACCTTGCAGGGACGCCAAGGGACAGGAGGGGGCACACATCGGGGGGAAACCGCTATACCATCTTTACTTTCCCTGGCCAAAGGCCGTATGAAAATGCGGTTGAACTCTCCACCCCCACCCTTTACTTATGAGACGGGAGCGAAGCTCCAAGAGACCATTCAGAACTTGCAATCCAAAGTGCAAGATGGCCGGTGCCCTCTTCTGGTCGGCTCGCAGGGCAAAAAGGGCACCGGTGGGCAAGGTACTCCAGATTTCGTAATAAAAGGGAGGGGGTCTGGACCCTCCAAGTCAAGC